TCCGGGGTACAGGGGGCATGGTCCAGGGTGCTGGGGGCATGGTCCGGGGTGCTGGTGCATGATCCAGGGTGCTGGGACATGGTCCAGGGTGCTGGGGCATGGTCCAGGGTGCTGGGGCATGGTCCAGAGTACTGGGAGCATGGTCCAGGGTGCTGGGGCATGGTCCAGGGTGATGGGGCATGGTCCAGGGTGCTGGGGGCATGGTCCAGGGTGCTGGGGCATGGTCCAGGGTGCTGGGGCATGGTCCAGAGTACTGGGAGCATGGTCCAGAGTACTGGGAGCATGGTCCGGGGTGATGGGGGCATGGTCCGGGGTGATGGGGGCATGGTCCGGGGTGCTGGGGGTATGGTCCAGAGTACTGGGAGCATGGTCCGGGGTGCTGGGGGCATGGTCCGGGGTGCTGGGGGCATGGTCTGGGGTGCTGGAGGTATGGTCCGGGGTGCTGGGGCATGGTCCGGGGTGCTGAGGCATGGTCCAGGGTGCTGGGGCATGGTCCAGGGTGCTGGGAGTATGGTCCGGGGTGCTAGGGGTATGGTCCGGGGTGCTAGGGGTATGGTCCAGGGTGCTGGGGCATGGTCAAGGGTGCTGGGGCATGGTCCAGGGTGCTGGGGCATAGTCCGGGGTGCTGGGGGCATGGTCCTGGGTGCTGGGGGCATGGTCTAGGGTGCTGGGAGTATGGTCCGGGGTGCTGGGGCATGGTCCGGGGTGCTGGGGCATGGTCCGGGGTGCTGGGGCATGGTCCTGGGTGCTGGGGCATGGTCCGGGGTGCTAGGGGTATGGTCCAGGATGCTGGGGCATGGTCCGGGGTGCTGAGGGTATGTCTGGGGGGCTGGGGGTATGGTCCGGGATGCTGGGGCATGGTCCGGGGTGCTGGGGCATGGTCCGGGGTGCTGGGGGTATGGTCCGGGGTGCTGGGGCATGGTCCGCGGTGCTGGGGCATGGTCCGGGGTGCTGGGCATGGTCCGGGGTGCTGGGGCATGGTCCGGGTTGCTGGGGGTATTGTCCGGGTGCTGGGGCATGGTCCGGGGTGCTGGGGCATGGTCCGGGGAGCTGGGGCATGGTCCAGGGTGCTGGTGGCATGGTCCGGGGTGCTGGGGGTATGGTCCAGGGTGCTGGGGCATGGTCCGGGGTGCTGGGGCATGGTCCGGGGTGCTGGGGCATGGTCCGGCGTGCTGGGGGCATGGTCCGGGGTGCTGGGGGCATGGTCTGGGGTGCTGGGGTATGGTCCGGGGTACTGGGGCATGGTCGGGGTGCCGGGGTGCTGGGGCATGGTGCCGGGGTGCTGGGGCATGGTGTCCAGGGTGCTGGGGCATGGTCCAAGGTGCTGGGGCATTGTCCAGGGTGCTGGGAGTATGGTCCGGGATGCTGAGGCATGGTCCGGGGTGCTGGGGCATGCTCCGGGGTGCTGGGGCATGGTCCGGGGTGCTGGGGCATGGTCCAGGGTGCTGGGGCATGGTCCAGGGTGCTGGGAGTATGGTCCAGGGTGCTGGGGCATGGTCCAGGGTGCTGGGAGTATGGTCCAGGGTGCTGGGGCATGGTCCGGGGTGCTGGGGCATGGTCAGGGGTGCTGGGGGCATGGTCCGTGGTGCTGAGGGCATGGTCCAGGGTGCTGGGGGCATGGTCCGGGGTGCTGGAGCATGGTCCGGGGTGCTGGGGCATGGTCCGGGGTGCTGGGGCATGGTCCGGGGTGCTGGGGGATGGTCCGGGGTGCTGGGGGCATGGTCCGGGGTTCTGGGGGCATGGTCCAGGGTGCTGGGGGCTTGGTCCGGGGTGCTGGGGCATGGTCCGGGGTGCTGAGGGTATGGTTCCGGGGTGCTGGAGGCATGGTCCGGGGTGCTGGGGCATGGTCCGGGGTGCTGGGGGCATGGTCCGGGGTGCTGGGGCATGGTCCAGGGTGCTGGGGCATGGTCCGGGGTGCTGGGGGCATGGTCCGGGGTGCTGGGGTATGGTCCTTGGTGCTGGGGCATGGTCCCGGGTGCTGGGGGCATGGTCCAGGGTGCTGGGGGCATGGTCCGGGGTGCTGGGGGCATGGTGCTGGGGCATGGTCCCGGGTGCTGGGGCATGGTCCGGGTGCTGGGGGCATGGCTGCTGGGGCATGGTCCAGGTGCTGGGGCATGGTCCGGGGTGAGGGCATGGTCCGGGGTGCTGGGCATGGTTGGGGGCATGGTCCGGGGTGCTGGGGCATGGTCCGGGATGCTGGGGGCATGGTCCGTTGTGCTGGGGTATGGTCCGGGGTGCTGGGGCATGGTCTGGGGTGCTGGGGGCATGGTCCTGGGTGCTGGGGCATGGTCCAGGGTGCTGGGAGTATAGTCCGGGATGCTGAGGCATGGTCCGGGGTGCTGGGGCATGCTCCGGGGTGCTGGGGCATGGTCCGGGGTGCTGGGGCATGGTCCAGGGTGCTGGGGCATGGTCCAGGGTGCTGGGAGTATGGTCCAGGGTGCTGGGGCATGGTCCAGGGTGCTGGGAGTATGGTCCGGGGTGCTGGGGGCATGGTCCAGGGTGCTGGGGCATGGTCCGGGGTGCTGGGGCATGGTCCGGGGTGCTGAGGGCATGGTCCGTGGTGCTGAGGGCATGGTCCAGGGTGCTGGGGGCATGGTCCGGGGTGCTGGAGCATGGTCCGGGGTGCTGGGGCATGGTCCGGGGTGCTGGGGCATGGTCCGGGGTGCTGGGGCATGGTCCGGGGTGCTGGGGGCATGGTCCGGGGTTCTGGGGGCATGGTCCAGGGTGCTGGGGGCATGGTCCGGGGTGCTGGGGCATGGTCCGGGGTGCTGAGGGTATGTTCCGGGGTGCTGGAGGCATGGTCCGGGGTGCTGGGGGGCATGGTCCGGGGTGCTGGGGCATGGTCCAGGGTGCTGGGGCATGGTCCGGGGTGCTGGGGGCATGGTCCGGGGTGCTGGGGTATGGTCCTTGGTGCTGGGGCATGGTCCCGGGTGCTGGGGGCATGGTCCCGGGTGCTGGGGGCATGGTCCGGGGTGCTGGGGGCATGGTCCAGGGTGCTGGGGCATGGTCCGGGGTGCTGAGGGCAAGGTCCGGGGTGCTGGGACATGGTCCGGGGTGCTTGGGGCATGGTCCGGGGTGCTGGGGGCATGGTCCGGGATGCTGGGGGCATGGTCCGTTGTGCTGGGGTATGGTCCGGGGTGCTGGGGCATGGTCTGGGGTGCTGGGGGCATGGTCCTGGGTGCTGGGGCATGGTCCAGGGTGCTGGGGCATGGTCCAGGGTGCTGGGGCATGGTCCGGGGTGCTCGGGCAGGGTCCGGGGTGCTGGGGCATGGTCCGGGGTGCTGGGGTATGGTCCGGGGTGCTGTAGCATGGTCCGGGGTGCTTGGGGGCATGGTCCGGGGTGCTGGGGGCATGGTCCGGGATGCTGGGGGCATGGTCCGTTGTGCTGGGGTATGGTCCGGGGTGCTGGGGCATGGTCTGGGGTGCTGGGGCATGGTCCAAGGTGCTGGGGCATTGTCCAGGGTGCTGGGAGTATGGTCCGGGATGCTGAGGCATGGTCCGGGGTGCTGGGGCATGCTCCGGGGTGCTGGGGCATGGTCCGGGGTGCTGGGGCATGGTCCAGGGTGCTGGGGCATGGTCCAGGGTGCTGGGAGTATGGTCCAGGGTGCTGGGGCATGGTCCAGGGTGCTGGGAGTATGGTCCGGGGTGCAGGGGGCATGGTCCAGGGTGCTGGGGCATGGTCCGGGGTGCTGGGGCATGGTCCGGGGTGCTGGGGGCATGGTCCGTGGTGCTGAGGGCATGGTCCAGGGTGCTGGGGGCATGGTCCGGGGTGCTGGAGCATGGTCCGGGGTGCTGGGCCATGGTCCGGGGTGCTGGGGCATGGTCCGGGGTGCTGGGGCATGGTCCGGGGTGCTGGGGGCATGGTCCGGGGTTCTGGGGGCATGGTCCAGGGTGCTGGGGGCATGGTCCGGGGTGCTGGGGCATGGTCCGGGGTGCTGAGGGTATGTTCCGGGGTGCTGGAGGCATGGTCCGGGGTGCTGGGGCATGGTCCGGGGTGCTGGGGGCATGGTCCGGGGTGCTGGGGCATGGTCCAGGGTGCTGGGGCATGGTCCGGGGTGCTGGGGGCATGGTCCGGGGTGCTGGGGTATGGTCCTTGGTGCTGGGGCATGGTCCCGGGTGCTGGGGGCATGGTCCCGGGTGCTGGGGGCATGGTCCGGGGTGCTGGGGGCATGGTCCAGGGTGCTGGGGCATGGTCCGGGGTGCTGAGGGCAAGGTCCGGGGTGCTGGGACATGGTCCGGGGTGCTTGGGGGCATGGTCCGGGGTGCTGGGGCATGGTCCGGGATGCTGGGGGCATGGTCCGTTGTGCTGGGGTATGGTCCGGGGTGCTGGGGCATGGTCTGGGGTGCTGGGGGCATGGTCCGGGGTGCTGGGGCATGCACCAGGGTGCTGGGGCATGGTCCAGGGTGCTGGGGCATGGTCCGGGGTGCTCGGGCAGGGTCCGGGGTGCTGGGGCATGGTCCGGGGTGCTGGGGTATGGTCCGGGGTGCTGTAGCATGGTCCGGGGTGCTGGGGCATGGTCCGGGGTGCTGGGGCATGGTCCGGGGTGCTGGGGCATGGTGCGGGGTGCTGGGCATGGTCCAGGGTGCTGGGGCATGGTCCAGGGTGCTGGGGCATGGTCCAGGGTGCTGGGGCATGGTCCAGGGTGCTGAGGCATGGTCCAGGGTGCTGGGGCATGGTCCAGGGTGCTGGGGCATGGTCCACGGTGCTGGGGCATGGTCCGGGGTGCTGAGGCATGGTCCACGGTGCTGGGGCATGGTCCGGGGTGCTGGGGCATGGTCCGGGGTGCTGGGGCATGGTCCCGGGGTGGGACGGAGTGGAGGAAGAAATAACGTGGAGGTCCTAGGTGGGGGGGGATTGGCGGGGGGGGTCAGGAGAGAGATGGGGTGAAGGGGGGGAATCACCCCTCTCTAAATGGGGGGGCGATATTGTAACATTTACTTTAAAGAGACCAACTCCTTTAAAATAAAGGGTGTGGAGGTCTTTTTGGAATGTGTATTATCTAGAACTGTTGTTTATTTGTGCTCATATTCCATTGTTTCTCAGAGTTGTTTATGTTTGGGTGACGTCGCCAGCGTGTGTGATGTATCCTCCATGTTGGGGTCAGGTCACCCTTGTACATGTTGAGTAGTAGATGGCAGGCCAGCGGGGAGGATGGCAAGCCAGCGTGGAGGATGGCAGGCCAGCGGGGAGGATGGCAAGCCAGCGTGGAGGATGGCAGGCCAGCGTGGAGGATGGCAAGCCAGCGTGGAGGATGGCAGGCCAGCGTGGAGGATGGCAAGCCAGCGTGGAGGATGGCAGGCCAGCGTGGAGGATGGCAAGCCAGCGTGGAGGATGGCAGGCTAGCGTGGAGGATGGCAAGCCAGCGTGGAGGATGGCAAGCCAGCGTGGAGGATGGCAGGCCAGCGGGGAGGATGGCAAGCCAGCGTGGAGGATGGCAGGCCAGCGTGGAGGATGGCAAGCCAGCGTGGAGGATGGCAGGCCAGCGTGGAGGATGGCAGGCCAACGGGGAGGATGGCAGGCCAGCGGGGAGGATGGCAGGCCAACGGGGAGGATGGCAGGCCAGCGGGGAGGATGGCAGGCCAGCGGGGAGGATGGCAGACAAGCGTGGAGGATGGCAGGCCAGCGTGGAGGATGGCAGGCCAACGGGGAGGATGGCAGGCCAGCGGGGAGGATGGCAGGCCAGCGGGGAGGATGGCAGACAAGCGTGGAGGATGGCAGGCCAGCGTGGAGGATGGCAAGCCAGCGTGGAGGATGGCAGGCCAGCGTGGAGGATGGCAGGCCAACGGGGAGGATGGCAGGCCAGCGGGGAGGATGGCAGGTCAGCGGGGAGGATGGCAGACAAGCGTGGAGGATGGCAGGCCAGCGTGGAGGATGGCAGGCCAACGGGGAGGATGGCAGGCCAGCGGGGAGGATGGCAGGCCAGCGGGGAGGATGGCAGACAAGCGTGGAGGATGGCAGGCCAGCGTGGAGGATGGCAAGCCAGCGTGGAGGATGGACGGGGAGGATGGCAGGCCAGCGTGGAGGATGGCAGGCCAACGGGGAGGATGGCAGGCCAGCGGGGAGGATGGCAGGCCAGCGGGGAGGATGGCAGACAAGCGTGGAGGATGGCAGGCCAGCGTGGAGGATGGCAAGCCAGCGTGGAGGATGGCAGGCCAGCGTGGAGGATGGCAGGCCAACGGGGAGGATGGCAGGCCAGCGGGGAGGATGGCAGGCCAGCGGAGAGGATGGCAGGCAAGCGGGGAGTATGGCAGGCCAGCGTGGAGGATGGCAGGCCAGCGGGGAGGATGGCAAGCCAGCGTGGAGGATGGCAGGCCAGCGTGGAGGATGGCAGGCCAGCGTGGAGGATGGCAGGCCAACGGGGAGGATGGCAGGCCAGCGGGGAGGATGGCAGGCCAGCGGGAAGGATGGCAGGCAAGCGGGGAGTATGGCAGGCCATCGGGGAGGATGGCAAGCCAGCGTGGAGGATGGCAGGCCAGCGGGGAGGATGGCAAGCCAGCGTGGAGTATGGCAGGCCAGCGTGGAGGATGGCAAGCCAGCGTGGAGGATGGCAGGCCAGCGTGGAGGATGGCAGGCCAACGGGGAGGATGGCAGGCCAGCGGGGAGGATGGCAGGCCAGCGGGGAGGATGGCAGGCAAGCGGGGAGTATGGCAGGCCAGCGTGGAGGATGGCAAGCCAGCGTGGAGGATGGCAGGCCAGCGTGGAGGTTGGCAGGCCAACGGGGAGGATGGCAGGCCAGCGGGGAGGATGGCAGGCCAGCGGAGAGGATGGCAGGCAAGCGGGGAGTATGACAGGCCAGCGTGGAGGATGGCAGGCCAGCGGGGAGGATGGCAGGCCAGCGTGGAGGATGGCAGGCCAACGGGGAGGATGGCAGGCCAGCGGGGAGGATGGCAGGCCAGCGGGGAGGATGGCAGGCCAGCGGGGAGGATGGCAGGCAAGCGGGGAGTATGGCAGGCCAGCGTGGAGGATGGCAAGCCAGCGTGGAGGATGGCAGGCCAGCGTGGAGGTTGGCAGGCCAACGGGGAGGATGGCAGGCCAGCGGGGAGGATGGCAGGCCAGCGGAGAGGATGGCAGGCAAGCGGGGAGTATGGCAGGCCAGCGTGGAGGATGGCAGGCCAGCGGGGAATATGGCAGGCCAGCGTGGAGGATGGCAGGCCAACGGGGAGGATGGCAGGCCAGCGGGGAGGATGGCAGGCCAGCGGGGAGGATGGCAGGCCAGCGGGGAGGATGGCAGGCCAGCGGGGAGGATGGCAGGCCAGCGGGGAGGATGGCAGGCCAGCGGGGAGAATGGCAGGCCAGCGGGGAGGAGCGAGGATGGCAGGCCAGCGGGGAGGAGGGAGGATGGCAGGCCAGCGGGGAGGATTGCAGGCCAGCGGGGAGGAGCGAGGATGGCAGGCCAGTGGGGAGGAGGGAGGATGGCAGGCCAGCGGGGAGGAGCGAGGATGGCAGGCCAGCGGGGAGGAGGGAGGATAGCAGGCCAGCGGGGAGGAGGGAGGATAGCAGGCCAGCGGGGAGGAGCGAGGATGGCAGGCCAGTGGGGAGGAGCGAGGATGGCAGGCCAGGGGGGAGGAGCGAGGATGGCAGGCCAGCGGGGAGGAGCGAGGATGGCAGGCCAGCGGGGAGGAGGGAGGATGGCAGGCCAGCGGGGAGGAGGGAGGATGGCAGGCCAGCGGGGAGGATAGCAGGCCAGCGGGGAGGAGCGAGGATGGCAGGCAAGTAGGAAAGAGCGAGGATGGCAGGCCAGCGGGGAGGAGCGAGGATGGCAGGCCAGCGGGGAGGAGGGAGGATGGCAGGCAAGCGGGGAGGATGGCAGGCCAGCGGGGAGGAGGGAGGATGGCAGGCAAGCGGGGAGGATGGCAGGCCAGCGGGGAGGAGGGAGGATGGCAGGCAAGCGGGGAGGATGGCAGGCAAGCGGGGAGGATGGCAGGCAAGCGGGGAGGATGGCAGGCAAGCGGGGAGGAAACTCCGTAATAACCAGAGAAAGCTGCGGTCCTGGATGACGCGCCGCCAATCAGGAATCACTTTCTCCCGTCTGGCCTCCAGTGCTCTTCCCGGAAGGTCCGTCCCTCATCCCGAGGTTGTACTGACCGTGGTCGTGTTGACCCTCACGCTCCTCGGATCAACACTAACGTCGTCCCATCACTAAACCTACAATGACAGTCGTCATAATCAGGTCTATCATTAATTGGTTATTTACCAGGATATAATCACATCCCTGGAAACACAAACCGAAACTGTCTCTATTTTCCGCTTGTTACGACTTCAAATAAAGTTGTTACATCTTGGCTTAACGTGTTTATGACGTATTAAAACGTTGTTACAACTTGCTAGATTGGTTGTTATAACTGGTTAGGAGGTGGTAAAACTTGTTCGAACGTTGTACCAACGTCATAGTTTCGGTGTGTGTTTGGCGGGATAAATCTACACGTATAAATAATTATAATAGTTATAATAATATAATAGTTCAGGGTAGGAATGTGGTGGAGCGTGTATGAGAGGCAGACGAAAGTATTCCTCAAGATGTTCCCCAGACACAAAACCGGTTTTAGCGAAGGTCATGTTTATCATTATCGCCTGGAGGCGACACGGGGCGGGAGCACACACCATTACCTCTGGAGACTCCTTCACTGTGTTGACACTTGACACCTGGGCCACCTGTGACTGCCTTCACACTTAGGACACCTGTGTGAAGGCATCGTATTGATTCACTGGTTTGTGCTTCTATCCTCCTTTCCTCAGTTACCTTGTCACGGTGATGTTGCCTGACAATACCTCTAATTTGTGGTAGAGTCTTGGGTATGAAGTATTCAGTATAGTCTCCTTCAGCGCCTTCAGCAGCCAGCACATCTGCTCGTTCATTCCCACATATTCCAACATGGGAGGGGATCCACAGAAACTTGACTCTTCTCTGATCGATAAGTACTCTCACAGCTCTCTTAATTTCAGCGACTATTGCAAGATTTTCTGCCCGATTTTTACTTAGGCTTTGCAGTGCTGCTTTTGAATCGGTGCAAATCACTGCACCATTAGTGTTCCGTTCAAGAAATCTTAACGCCATAACAATGGCAGTTAGCTCTGCTTGCGTTGAAGAGGCATAGTTCTCAATACGTGCTTTCTCTTCATTTCTGCGTTGAAAGGCATTATTCCTAATTACAGTGTATGCTGTACCAGCCCTGTCATTGACAGGGTTAGATGACCCATTAGTGTAGATTTGATCTAGTTCATCTCCGGCTTCTTTATAAATTTCCTCGAGATACTTGTGCCTCATTTCTTGTGGTATCATGTCTGATTTTTTCGTTGCCATTTCATTGATGATAATCCTGCATGAGTCATCCTCCCAGGGAGGTAACCTCTCTACAGGCAGGAGCTCACGGGCTTGCTCAAGCAGGTGAAGTTCTTCGAGGTAGCAGACTGATCTGTGATGTCATTTTTTGCTTCTGTTACCTCCTGTAAGTAACACAGAACTTAGTATTTTCTTGGGAATGTTCTTGTAATAGGGATCTCTGGCTATCCTAATTGCAAGCTTAGCATTCAGTTCCTTAATTCTGCCTTTAAAAGTAGGGAGGGACAACTTCTATCGTAGATTAGACGTTTTGGCAGTTCTTGGAACTCCAAGAATGATTGTCATGGCTTCATTATGTATGCTTTCGAGCCTTTTCATATCACTTTGAGAGTAGGTGCATAAAACTGGTGCGGCATAGTCTATGGCACAGTACATCAGTAATGTACACTGCACATAGGCTGTGTACATCATTTTAAGCACGGCAATAGACGCTCCATGCCCATTCCAAGTCATAGCTTTCAGTGTCCTGAGTCGACTTTTGCATGTTCCTATGAGTTGGTTGAGCTCCTCTTTCTTTCCCTTATTAGAGCCGACAGTGACGCCAAGGTACCGATAGTGGTCAACCCATTCAAGTGTTACACCCATTAATTTGTAGTTCTTCATTTTCCCCCCCGTATGTGACGAGAGTATGTTTTTGACTTGTTTGTGGAGAGAATGAAACCGAGCAATACATTTCCTTCCAAGAAGTTCAATGGTCTGTTTAATTTTTTCCAAGGTTAGAGCTTGTATTAGGACTTCATCTGCATACCTCTCTTGTTGCGTCCTTTCCGGAAAATCAATATTTGCAATGACATTCATAAGTACATAGAATAGTGTAGGGCGTAAGACTCCGCCTTGGGGGGTCCCGAGTTCCATACTCATTGTTCTTGAGACTGCTCCATTGAAGCAAACCTTGACTTTCCTTCCTGTGAGGTAGTCTTCAACCCATTTCATGAGTCTCCCCTTGACACCCATGCATGCAAGCTCGTCCAGGATTGCAATCCCCTGCGCTTTGTCGAAGGCTCCTTTGATGTCAACAAATACAGAGTACCTAGCCGTGTCATTAGCCAAGTAATTAACTATACAATTTGCTGTGCTCCGTCCTTTAACAAATCCATTGACCCTCTCCCCTAACCTGCCTATTTTGTGCAACAGTCGGTTTAAGATGATCCTTTCAAGCATCTTGCAAGTGCATGACATGAAACTGATAGGTTTGTAATTGCCAGGGTCATTAGGCTTCGGTATGGGAACAATTATGGCGAGTTTCCATTGTGTGGGCAACACTCCACTTAGGAATGACTTGTTAAACAGGCGGAGTAGAGGATTCCCAGACACTTCACACAGTACATCGAGTCCTCAAGATGTTTATTGTAAATACACATTGTTGGTGTTGTGTCCAGCCTCTTCCTGCCGTGTCTACACCTCCCTCCATGACACTATATCATCAACGGTGGCACGATATCATCAACGATGGCACGATATCATCAACGGTGGCACGATATCATCAACGGTGGCACGATATCATCAACGATGGCACGATATCATCAACGATGGCACGATGTCATCGAAATGATATCAGTTAAACTGGAAAACATTGCTTAATGTAGCCTTGGGGGGGGGGGGGGAGGGCTGGCGTCGGTTCCCAGGTAAGGCAACTTGGCCATAAATGTATAACTTACACACAAACATCACCAAGAAAACATCTTAAAAACTAAATTTAGTTTTATAATATACTGTATAGACACGAGTTTGCCAGTTACGGTCAACCGTGTCAACGATGGTGTTTGTGGGAACGATGAGGGCCGTGGCCGGTACAGTGTGGGGGGCTGGTGGACCAGCACGGGGGGCCGTGGCTGGTACAGTGTGGGGGGCTGGTGGACCAGCACGGGGGCCGTGGCTGGTACAGTGTGGGGGGCTGGTGGACCAGCACGGGGGGCCGTGGCTGGTACAGTGTGGTGGGGGCTGGTGGACCAGCACGGGGGGCCGTGGCTGGTACAGTGTGGGGGGCTGGTGGACCAGCACGGGGGGCCGTGGCTGGTACAGTGTGGTGGGGGCTGGTGGACCAGCACGGGGGGCCGTGGCTGGTACAGTGTGGGGGGCTGGTGGACCAGCACGGGGGGCCGTGGCTGGTACAGTGTGGGGGGCTGGTGGACCAGCACGGGGGCCGTGGCTGGTACAGTGTGGGGGGCTGGTGGACCAGCACGGGGGGCCGTGGCTGGTACAGTGTGGTGGGGGCTGGTGGACCAGCACGGGGGGCCGTGGCTGGTACAGTGTGGGGGGCTGGTGGACCAGCACGGGGGCCGTGGCTGGTACAGTGTGGGGGGCTGGTGGACCAGCACGGGGGGCCGTGGCTGGTACAGTGTGGTGGGGGCTGGTGGACCAGCACGGGGGGCCGTGGCTGGTACAGTGTGGGGGGCTGGTGGACCAGCACGGGGGGCCGTGGCTGGTACAGTGTGGTGGGGGCTGGTGGACCAGCACGGGGGGCCGTGGCTGGTACAGTGTGGGGGGCTGGTGGACCAGCACGGGGGGCCGTGGCTGGTACAGTGTGGGGGGTGGTGGACCAGCACGGGGGCCGTGGCTGGTACAGTGTGGGGGGCTGGTGGACCAGCACGGGGGGCCGTGGCTGGTACAGTGTGGTGGGGGCTGGTGGACCAGCACGGGGGGCCGTGGCTGGTACAGTGTGGGGGGCTGGTGGACCAGCACGGGGGGCCGTGGCTGGTACAGTGTGGTGGGGGCTGGTGGACCAGCACGGGGGGCCGTGGCCGGTACAGTGTGGGGGGCAGGTGGACCAGCACGGGGGGCCGTGGCTGGTACAGTGTGGGGGGCTGGTGGACCAGCACGGGGGGCCGTGGCTGGTACAGTGTGGTGGGGGCTGGTGGACCAGCACGGGGGGCCGTGGCTGGTACAGTGTGGGGGGCTGGTGGACCAGCACGGGCGGCCGTGGCTGGTACAGTGTGGTGGGGGCTGGTGGACCAGCACGGGGGGCCGTGGCTGGTACAGTGTGGTGGGGGCTGGTGGACCAGCACGGGGGGCCGTGGCTGGTACAGTGTGGTGGGGGCTGGTGGACCAGCACGGGGGGCCGTGGCTGGTACAGTGTGGTGGGGGCTGGTGGACCAGCACGGGGGGCCGTGGCTGGTACAGTGTGGTGGGG